AGCTTGATCATAACCACTCCTCACATCCCCTCTGGTTCTCCTGGATCCCTTACTTCATCTCTCTACCAAACTCTTGCTCTCTCTTTCTATTTACTTTACTTATTTTTAGCACACTGAGTTGAGTTAGTACAGCCCATAACTGTGTGAGTTCATACACTGGGGTATCAGGCACCAACCAGTGTCCACACCTATGGAAAAAAGTGACACCCTTCCCCAGTAGCCATCAACTATCCAAATCCAAACAAGCATCCATTCAGAAGCTCGCAAGACCCCTCCACCTTACTCTTCTACCAAATAGGAACATTTTTCATTTTTGAATATTTTTTTGAGTTAATTTCACTATTTAGCCTAGGTTAGCCTCAAACTTGAACTGTTCTTGTCTCAGCCTCCCAGGTACTTATTTCTGATAGCACAGACTAAACTGACTCATTTCTCTATTTTATAATAAGGACACTATGCAAATACATGAAATATGTTTAAACATTAACACAATGTATGAATTTTATTCACATTGTTTGCAATTGTAGGCTTTTTATTATAAGTAATTCTACAATTGTATAGATTTTTACTGTAAAGTGTATAAAAATTTGCCCATGTAAATGCCGATAGACGTGATTTCTCAGGTTTAGGTTATGCTACAAAAACATTGTAGATTATGTTGCAATCGGTGTTCTACTTGTTGTATTCTGGTGAATGTAGGTGCACACTTTATTGGAGAGAGAACTGGGGTTCACATGTACTTTTCATTACAAGATACACAAAAAATAGCTGTTAGGATTTACACCAGTGGTTCTCAACCTGTGGGTTGCAACCCCTTTATAATCTCACATCAGATATCCTGCATATCTGATACTTATATTACAACTCCTAACAGTAGCAAAAATAGCGAAATAATTTTCTGGTTGAGAGTCACCACAACATGATGGAATGTTAGTAAATGGTCACAGAGTCAGGAGGTTGAGAACAAACACTGCCTTACATTTCTGCTATGGGTAGCGTGTGGCAGTGCCATTTCACCATCCCAGGAAGCACATGACATGTTTAGGCTTCTCGTCACCTACATGTGTGGGTATGAATCCTGCATCATGAGAGACTCAATCTGCATTTATTTTCCTGGTAACTAGGAAAGCCAATGACCACTAGCCTGTTTGTTGACATGTTTGTTCTTTCTGTCTTTTTCTTTTTCTTGCCAATTTTGATGGGGTGATTTACACTCTTGGTTATATATGCACACAGTCAATACCAGCTCCTCCTTTGTGCCTGGTGTTTTTGTATTTTGTCTTTTTTTCACTTAAATACTAAATTTTTATTTACTCCAGTCTGTAATTTTGTGAATAACATTTTTGTGACTTCATTTCAAAACCTTGCCTACTACAAATCACAAAGAAGATACATGTTTTAGTTTTCATAGGGGGTTCTAATGTTTTTCTGAAATCTACTTTGACAAGAGACTTCTAAGGGGAAAGACAAGTTTGTTTTTTCCATTATATATCTCATTAATGTAACAATGTCCAATGGAAAATATGTTTATTTTCTTTGAGCAGGCTGAACTCTAGGTCACTTAATGTACAACTCAGGATTTGGTATCTGGATTCTGCGTTCTTATAATTATCTATTTAATAAATATTAGGGAGGATAGCCTGTAATTTAGGAGATTGCATAAAGTGCCCACATACATATCTTTAGGGGCTTTAACTGGAAGAGTAGAGTCAAAATCTACACAACATTGCAATGAGTGTAACGATGTGATCGCACAGAAATTAGAGAGTTATACTGCCCCTCAAATTAAGTACAGGGGACACACACACACATACACAAGCACACACACAGACAAAATTGTTTACATTTTAGGCTCCTCTCAGTATTGCATGGTAGTTCCCATTCCTCATCCTTGGCAAGGACAATGACAAATTTATGTGAATTGACAAAATTTAGATCTCAAGTCCAGTTGTTCTTACAAATTGGTGGGATTTCTGTCTACAGCAGACAACCTCTCTTCAAGAAGCCCTTGCTGGGCCGGGCAGTGGAGGGCCGGGCAGTGGAGAGCCAGGCAGTGGAGGGCCGGGCAGTGGAGGGCCGGGCAGTGGAGAGCCGGGCAGTGGAGGGCCGGGCAGTGGTGCGCACGCCTTCAATCCCAGCACTCGGGAGGCAGAGGCAGGCGGATCTCTGTGAGTTCCAGGACAGGCTCCCGGGCTGCAGAGACACCCGTCTCGAAGGTGTCCTTTCTGAAAATCGCAGTCCCCTCAACCTTCAACATTAACAATTCACATGCCATACACATACCCCATCCCAAACCCCGGAACACACATTCATCCTCACGCACCCATATACACAAGCACAGTTCAATGTTCCTTTGGGAATCACATGCACTGGATTTTAATTCTGCCACAATTGTTAAAGCATTTTCAGCATTTATCAGGCTCTGAGCTTCCAACTGGATAGGCCTGTGTGAATTTTCCATGCTGTTTCATGGCAGATGGTCAGGGTTTCCAAAAGACAAAATAGTGAACCATAGAACGCCATTTCTGTACTCTAAACACTTAGTTTAAGTTGAAAGTGGAGCTTGGAAGCAAATAGAGAATTTGGAATGTAATAATTTTCCTCTAGGGAGGGAAACAAATATGAGATATGATTAGAAATAACAAACAGAGCATTTTTCCTACAAAGATGAAAAACTAAAAAAAAAATCCAAGTAATTCTTAAAAAAACAAAGGAGCTAGTGAAAATTCCCGTTGTGCCCCTCACACAATACAGTGTTTGTTGAGGTCATTTACATACAATTTTTATTTAGAAATATCACAGACAGTACACTAGATGGCAGTTTCTCCCAGGGCATCCAGACTCAATCCTCTAGTGGACCTGAGCGAATGAGGATACAATTACTGCATCATTTTGCAAACAAAACTTGTCTAAGAGACTCCGGACATCTTCTCCTGGGGCCTTAAATCATGGGGACTGGAGGGATGGCATCCTCCTTGTCTTGTGGGCGTGGGGAATGCCCCTCAGTGGCCACACTGCCTAGCTCGATTCTCAGGATTCAATAAGTATCCCTTACAGTTTGGAAATGGGACGTGTCCGGTGTGTGGCGCTCACCCAGGCTGGGGGAGGGTGGCAAGGGCATCTAGATACGTGTGTGTGTGTGTGTGTGTGTGTGTGTGTGTGTGTGTGTGTGTGTGGCTTCATATACATTACCAGCAGTGTTCGCGGTGGTACAAACTGCCCTGGACGGGTCTGAGCCCTCTCTTGGCCTTGGTGGGACACTCACCTGAGTGCGTGCGTTTTTGCTGCAGGTCCTGCGTAGCCCCTGCATCTGTGAGTTTGCCTGGTCTGCTCAAGCCTCAAAGAGCTCCATTACATTCTCAGGTTAGGTGAGAAGACCTCGGGGGTTGGCATCCCCGGGCATTGGGGTACAGAGTGGGGGACGTAATCCGACGCCACCAAGAGGTTAAGGGACCTGGGGCTCAGGACCACCTGGGTTTGGGTGTCAGGGACTGGCGGCAGAGACCGGCAAGCACACAGATGTCAACCTCAGGGCGCCACAGCAGGCAGCTCTGATCCCAGGCAGACAAGGAGGGGGTGGGGCACAGACGGGAGCTCAGGGGTTGCGATGATGGGAAGAACTGAATTCAGAGCACAGGTCGTGCAGCCACAGGAACAGGATGTATTTAACATGCCTTTAGGTCCTTATTGGTACAGCCTGCCTGGGTCTCAGCATGGCAGGTGCTCCTGGCAGCTGCGCTCCTGCAGCTGGATGACAAAGATGGAGAAGGTAGTCAGTTTCGTGGTTAGTGAACCAGGAGGGAACGCACATGGGTTTTTACAGGGACCTGCTTGCTGGCTCCTGTGAGCAGACTGGAAGGCTTTAGCGAAATATAACTTTTATTTTTTATTTATGGCTCCCCATCCACAAGAACTCAGCTAAAATGAGTTCTATTTTTATGATTATAAAAACATAACTCCCCCGTCAAAAACCATAAACCCAAAGGGCAGGGACTATAGATGACAAAATAAATATCAAAGGTGACAGCACATTATTGAAAAATACATATTAAATGAGAAATACTGTAACAGGGGCAAAGACATGACAGCCTTTAGTAAGACATAGTAATACTAACAGCATATATAATGTGTGCATACAGAAACATGTTAGGAAATATGCATATTTAACAAAGGCAATGGAAAATCTCAGAGGACAAGGATGGTAAAAAGAGGGATTTGTAGAAAGAGTAAACCAAAAGACTCACCATTTTAGGCACCATTAGCTGCTCTTGAACTGTGCCATACATTCAATTTGGAAAGAAATTAACATAGCTCAGGATGTTAAAAGACAATAATGAGAAATCGTGAAGAATGAGGAAACTCAACTAAAAATTCCACTGATGTGTAAGATCCTATGGTCTACTGAGGACCAAATCATTAAATTATTTTCGGAATCCATTGACCAGAGCCTCAGTAACTAAGGAGCAACATCAATTACTGATTAAGAACAAGAATTTTAAAAGTCCAAGTCCTAAGTGTTAATCACTGAGATGATGAAATCCTTCTTTCATCTATTTTTTTTAAAATTTATTTATTTAGGAGTCTTGCAGTGTGTCCCAGGCTGGACTGGAGCTTTTCTGCCTCAGTCTCCCCAGTGCAGGGATTATAGGCATGTTAGCCAACAGCCTGGAACCAAACTGGTCTTTAAGCTCATACCTACAGGAAGATGTGCATTGTCATTAACAATTGAGTATGGTATCCTTTTTTTTTAAAGCCTCTTTTAAGAAGTAATAATAGAATATAGTGGATTATTAATCTATCAGGATGAAAATTTATCTTTCAAAAGTTTAGAGTCAGGATCTGATCTCGTGAATGAGTCACTGAATTAACAATAAAGAACAGTATAAATAAAACTGTTCCTTTAAAATTACTTGAACATTAAAATACATTGTATGGTTTATAAAAGCAAACGAGAAGTACTGACAGTAATTGTGACCTATGTCGTCTTTTGTCCCTTCTTTAGAAAACCTACACAATTGTAAGCAGTTTACATGGTGGTGCTAGCCTGGTCATGTCAGTGCAGAATAACACAGATCTGAGGCCAGCTTTCTTCATTCTGAATGGGATCCCAGGCCTGGAAGACATGCACGTCTGGATTTCCTTCCCGTTCTGTTCCATGTATGCAGTGGCTTTGGTGGGGAACTGTGGTCTCCTCTACCTCATCTTCTTTGAGGACTCCTTGCACAGACCCATGTACTACTTTTTAGCGATGCTTTCTCTAACGGACCTTGTCATGTGCTCTAGTACGATCCCTAAAGCCCTCTGCATCTTCTGGTTTCATCTTAAGGAAATCGGATTTGATGACTGTCTTGTCCAGATGTTCTTCATCCACACCTTCACAGGGATGGAGTCCGGGGTGCTCATGCTCATGGCTCTGGACCGCTTTGTAGCCATCTGCTACCCACTGCGTTACTCCACCATCCTCACCAATCCTATCATTGCCAAGGTTGGGTTTGCCACCTTCCTGAGGGGGGTGCTGCTAATTATCCCATTTATGTTTCTCACTAAGCGCTTGCCCTACTGCAGAGGCAATATAATAAATCATACCTACTGTGACCACATGTCTGTAGCCAAGTTGTCCTGTGGCAATGTCAAGGTGAATGCCATTTATGGTCTGATGGTCGCTCTCTTGATTGGGGGCTTTGACATTCTGTGTATCACTGTCTCCTACACCATGATCCTGAGGGCAGTGGTCAGCCTGTCCTCAGCAGACGCTCGGCAGAAGGCCTTCAGCACCTGCACTGCCCACATCTGCGCCATCGTTTTCTCCTACAGCCCAGCCTTCTTTTCTTTCTTCTCTCACCGCTTTGGGGGCCACACCATCCCTCCATCTTGCCACATCATCGTGGCTAATATTTACCTGCTTTTGCCTCCCACTATGAACCCTGTTGTCTATGGAGTGAAAACCAAGCAGATACGAGACTGTGTCATTAGGATTCTTTCAGGGTCTAAGGATTCCAAAAGCCACAGCATATAAATACGCTTTGCCAGGGAAACAGAAGAATTACACAGAATTACCTGTTAAGGCAGAAGCTGATAAAAAAAATCTTGGTAGCTCTTTTTGGGTTTTTGAGACAGTTTGTCTGTGTAACAGTCCTAGCTGACCTGGAATTAGCTCAAGTAGATCAGTCTGGCCTCACAGAGATCCTGCTGTCTCTGCCTTCAATGTGCACCCACCGTCCAACAGCTTCTCACTCATTTGAAAAATGAATCTAATGGATAGACCTGGTTTCATTTGATGAAGCCCAGTGAAGAATGAATAGAGCATGTTTGCAAAGAGCAGCAATTTCTAAGGTATTTGCAAGCTTCTGCTTCTTCTACAACATGTATGCATGTATGTATGTATGTATGTACAAAGATACAAAATACTTGTTTCTTCAAGTGCTTCTTTCTTCCTGAAAAAGAGGGATATTTCCCATCAAGTCATGAATACTATGCACTTTAAATAGCCAGGCATCTCCATAGAATCTTATTAGGCTTGCTAGGTTTCTCCTATCCAAGCCACTGGCATAATTACTTCAAAAAGATAAACTGACCATCCCATTTCCTTCAAGAGGACTTTAAAGAGCTTGCAGTCTAGAAAGAGAGTTAATTCTCTGAATCATATATAAAAATGTATATATTTTCTCCTAGAAGCACCATACGAGAAACTATCAAATTGTACTTTTTAAGTTTTACCAGATTGTGAATACAATAAAGTTAAATGTGTCTCTAATATTTAAAGATTTTATTAAATTAATAAAAATAGTATAGAGAAATAGTATTTTTATATTTAATGTTTCATTAGCTGAGCTGCTTTTACAAGAAATGCAGAGCAACCACAATTTTTATTCTTATCGTTCTCTGTTCAGAAGTCAAGAAAACACATTTTGTTCTCAAATTAGTGACGTACAGTCCTCAAGTTTCAGCCATTCATTCCATAAACCCTTTTGTACTGTACCACCTGGGTGATGACAGCATCCTTACAATAGGGGCTATAGACTATTACCAAGGTCCACAAGTAGTCAACACACAGAAAAAGTGCCTATAGGGTGTCCAGTCCCAACTGATGTAACCAGATTGTAGCTTATACACCTAAGGCTCAGGGAAAACAATGGAAACTTGTGTGGGAAGACTATAAGAACTGGAGGATCAGGGCACTTCCTGCTAGATATCACTTTCTAGACTCAACAGGGAAGCTGCATCCATGAAACCCTAACAGTGTGGTTGCTTAAAACAAGGTCTTCCCAATGTAAATACCAATGGACATTCCTGTGTGAATGGGCCAAGTTTCACAAAGCCATATCCCAAATGAAGAACTACTAGCAGCCAATGGTTTCTGAGATAGGAGAATAAGTTTTCCCCCAGGAACCATCACCCTGATAGGCTATCTAATATCAACAGGTTAGCTCTAAAACATGTATATAATCAGCAACACTAAGTGAGTTTGGTAGATGTGTAGTATATACTATATGCATATATGCACCCACATATGTTTTATATGTAACAATAATTAAAGAAGAGTTCATGGATTTGAGATATGACGGGGGGAAAGGAAGGAGTTGGAGAGGAGGTAGAGATGAATGGAAATTATGTAAATAAAGCACTACTATATAAAATTCTTAAAAGAATAAAAATTATTTTAAAAAATTATGGTTGAGTTATGGCTTATTGGATAAAAGTGCTTGTCATGTAATCATAAGAATCCTGAGATTCAGAACTAATGTGAAATAGTTAAAAGTGAAGGCATGGGCTTGTAATCTCAGCATTCAGGAGATGGAAAGAGGAGGCTCTTCGTGACTGGCTGACAACTAGCTAGTCTAATTGCTACATTCATAGATCACCACGTCTCTCAACCCTCATCAAAAAATTTGCTTTCAGTAAAGAGAAATTAATTCAGGCACTGTATTAATCAATTAACTGGTCACTAAACAGGGAAGGAGAAAATGTGGAGTACTCAGCTCTAAATGGAAAAGAAAGTATATTATCTCATCCCTATACTCACTCACAAGTCTCAGGGGTTTTCATGGGTGATGGTGTGGAAAGATTGCAAGAGAGACACACTGCAAGGCAGATACACATATCAACTCACCAACACTGTCACAGCACACGTAAGACCTATGCAAACTCAAAGCAGACAAGTGTCAGCATGGATGAGGAGACAGGCACACAATCCATCATGAGCAGCTATTGAAATCTGATGACTTGCAGAAGAGAGTCAGCTTTCTTTGAACTGGTAGGCCACCACAATGCAGGGCAAGCTGCATTCCCAAGAGTAGTTGGGCAGCGTGAAGTGGACTTAATGCTGTTTGTTTGCTTGTTTAAAATATATAAAAGAAAGAAGAAGAAGAAATCTTGAAGTTAGGTGAGTTGGGAGATGAAGGTGGAAGGGGTGGATTTGAGAGTAGTGGGGGAAAGAAACTGAATATTATTAGTTTTTACAGCCACCAGATACAAGGATTTTCTGCATGAAATACATTACGCCCGTGAAAAAATATAGTTTCAGTTTTCTTTATTAGTCTGAAAGTTGAAACAATCTATATGCTCATCTAGTGCTGAGGGATAAATAAAATTGAGGAGTATCAGTAACCACCAGAGGTTACTCAGTCATAAAGAAATAGAAGATTGATACTTGCAATAATGTCCTAGACACAAAATTAAGTACTGCACAATGCCATTTTATAATAAATAGTAGGAATAAATAAGTTAGTGAAACAGAAATCAAATTAGCATTTTTTTAATTTTTTTTTAATTTTATGTTCATTGGTATGCACATGTCTGTGTGAGGGTGTCAGAAGCCCTGGAACTGGAATTACAGACAGGTGTGAACCACCATGTGGGTGCTGGGAAGTCACCCTGGGTCCTCAGGAAGAGTAGTCAGTGCTCTTAAACACTGAGTCATCTCTTCAGTCCTAAAATTAATGTTTTCTGAGGCAAAGAGAAGTAATAGCAATGATTATTGATAACTGTCAAGTTTCTACTCGAGGTACTAGGAATACCTTTGGGCTGTGGTGATAGTTGCTCAACCACAGAGAGTACACTAAGAGTCTGAATTAGGCACATCAAAGAACTAAATGCCCAAGACAGTTTTCTGTGAGTACCACCATTGTAAAACAATGTGTGGTAGATATGTTATCTACCTTAAAATATGAAAGCTGGAGAGATGGCTCAGCGGTTAAGAGCACTGGTGGTTTTTGAAGCGAACACCCACATGGCAGCTTACGACCTTCTGCAGCTCCAGTTCCAAGGAATCCAGCTCCCTCTTCTGACTGCCTTGGGCATCAGGCACAAGAACAGTATACAGGCAAGCAAAACACTTAATACATATAAAATAAAAACAAATAAAGCTTAAAAGACTTTTTCTCTACATGATTTTTAATTTTTTCTAGCAAAATAAAAGAAGCTCTATAAGAAAAAATTATTCGTGTTTTAATATTGTGTCATTGAAGCTTCTACTAAGATCTATAATTTATGTTTATTAAACTGAATAGTAGAGTAGGGCAGATGATAGATGGATCACAGATGTGCATTGACTGGAAAAAGATAATTTTTCTTTGCATCATATAACAAGGTTTATTTTTTTTATCTCCTTTGAAATACATTTACGTTTTCCCAGACTTATAAAAACATGTAACATTATTTATATCTTTAAAGAAATATAAAATTAAAATCTACTATTGATTTAATATGGCTATTCTCACCATTGCCATCATTACTACAAAATTTAGCATTTAATTATTTATAATTTCATATGTATGCATACTCTTAAGTTTTTAATAAAACTTTGACAATGCTTTCATATTCACCCACAACTTTACTGTACTAAACCCAGAACCTATGTTGTCTGTTTCTTTTTCAAATAGTTCTTAGCCTGACTTGGGAAATGCTGACAGTTAGATGATATAAATGCAAATATAGACAAGTAAAATGAATAAATATGATAACGTACAGATGTGTAGCTATCCGTGGTGGAAACATTCTACACTAATTGCCTTCAGCTCCTTCCTGTCCCATTTGCATTGCTTTCCCCTTCACTTGCCTTATTTTTCTAGCTGAGACTTCAAGTAATCACACTGAATAGGAGGAGGACGAGCAACATTCTTGTCTTGTTCCTGACTTTGGTGGAAATGCTTTGATTTTATCTACTTAGCAAGTTGTTCCTTGTGGGTTAGTTGCATGTTATCTTTATGATGTTGAGCTATGTCCCTGTATTCCTAGATTCTCTGGGACTTTTATTATTAAGGCGTGATGGATTTTGTCAGAGAACTTTTCTGGATAGAATGAAACAATTATATGTTTTCTCTTTTTCAGCCTATTTTACGGGGCAGATTTCATTTACTGACTTATGCATGTTTACACATTCCTGCATTTCTAAGATTAAGGTGACTTGATTTTTTTGACAGTTTTTTTAAATTCAGTTTTACAGAGAATTTTTGCTTCCCTGTTCATGAGAGACACTATGCACCAGAATGTCTAACAAAGAAGAACCACAACTTTGAAATCAATGCTACAATACCTACTTTTTATAAAATAGCTTCCGTTCATCTTTCCCCTCTTACTCGTACATGTCAGTAAAGTAACGGGCCCTTTATGATCCATCCACGCTTTCATATCCTCCCATGATACTGCCTCTCACACCAATGTTTCTTTCCTAATGTTCTTAAATATTCCCTTGGGACATGTAACACGGATTTTCTTTTAGAGACTGAGTACAGCAGTGGTTATCAAGGTGTGTAGAAGCCAAGGGCCATGCACATGCCTGTTCTAGGGGACAGTGACTTTTCCTGTTCAACAAGACCCTGAATGTTGGAACCACGTTGCCTTGATCTCGGTGATTGACTACGCAGAAACTAGGTATTTAAGGGCACACTATGATGGTAGAAGGGTGGGGCAGGACAGTTTTTAAGGCATCATGATGTAGTAGAAAGAGGCTTCAGTTGCCTAAGAATAGACTATGTTGTCCTCAGAAATAGTTTTGATTCCACTCACTATCTCGATAGTAGAAGTATTAGGGGGAATATGGGCTCTTAATTCCCAGATCCATAATT